TGTCACCCCTGGTCCTGAGTGGTTCATCTGTCCTAGATTCCCCACAGTATAGATTTACATAAGTAATGGAAGCAAGATTTCGAGGGTTGATATTCTTGACCATCTACTTTTCCTAAACACATTTAAAATGAGCCATTATATATTGTTCCTCATTGAGGAAGTGGTGAATACAGTGCAATCTGACTATAAAATGATAGGGGACACAAACTATATGGATAAATAAGCAATACAATTGAAAGATAGCTAGTGGAATAGATAAGAGTCTACAATGGGACATCTCACTCCTGATACTTATGCAGGAGCAAATGAAGGGCTCCTTCCCTTTAACTACTGATGCCCTCTAAACTTTCTCATTTATAAAAAACAAAGGGAAAAATAACTTGTTGATACTCATGAATCAATATTTATTAGGCATCCCCTTTTACATAAGTATTGCTTCTTACACATTCCACGGCAGTTTGTACATGTGTCTACTGTAATCTTCGTCCTTTATATTGTTTCTTCTCACCTATGCTTGTAAAGGAGCCTTGGTGATGCTGGGAGTTACATGTTGGGCTGGTAAATGCAAGGTCAGCAACTCAAACCTACCAGCCACTCCTCAGGAGAAAGAAGAAACTGCTCATGTAAGAGTCACAGTCTTGGCAGCCTTCTATAGGATTGCTATGGGTTAGCATCCACATCGTGGCATTGGATTTGGTTTTGGATGTATGTTTTCGTAGAAAAGCAGCAGCTCTTGACTCACCACCACTCTTGTTTCAGTACTTGGTACTATATGTTAAAAAAAAAGTACCTAATAAAATAAATATTTATTATTAATTTTTTTTCTCCCCATGTAAGTTCCCCTCCCTCTGTTCAAACGCATGCTTTCTTACTTATTATTTGTCCACCATCAAATTAATATTTTACACATGTTACCTTGTTTTATATATATATATATATATATGTATATATTTTTTGTTTTGTTTTTTAAGGTAACAGTTTATGTTTGAAGTGAAAGTTTGGCCTCATCCACATTCTACATTGTTATCATCCTTTAACCCAGTTGCTTTCAGGAACTAAGCAAGCCTCATTGCATTAGATAATGTATCTTGAATGGGAATATTTTCTCTTCCTTTTTGTGAAATATTTCACCTAAATGGCACATAAGATGGGAAAATAATATAGTAATCCCTATTTATACATGGGGGATACATTCCAAGACCCTCTTGAATACCAGAAAACATGGATAGTACCAAATCCTATTTATACTATGTTTTCCCCTATACATACATACCTAGGATAGAAATTTCACATCAGAATTTGCCCTGATATGAATAACTGACAACTGAATCATATACTTATATCAGCATCTTACCTTCTTTTACCTATATTCATCAGAAGAAGAGGAAATGCACCCAGTTGTTTGGTAGGACTTAGAAAGACGATTGCAAGAAGAGTCATATTAAGAAATTCATTGCACCAAAATTGCACAGCTTTTTCTCTAATAATGGTGTAGGGCATTGGGCATTAAAGTCTGAGAAAGCCAGCCCCTGTCAGAGAAAGAAAACATAATTTTTCCATTAAAACAGCACTAGAGAAGGGTCCAAATCACAAAACTGTAAGAGCTGGAAAAGGAAGGCATTCCTGTCAAGTTTCACTCTGACGGTTTTCCACACTTTGTTGCACATTGGAGTTACATGGATAGCTTTAAAATATATGGATTCCTGCCTCCCACTCCAGAAATGCTGATTTAATTAATATGGAGTATTCCCTGGGCATTATTATTTTAAATTTTTTGAGGTAATTCTGTGAACTCAATTTGGAAGGAAAACATTTTAAGTAGTTATTTGAGGAAATAATTTATCATTGAAGAAATTTTGTTTGCTTGTGATCATTTGTCATATAAATTTATTGCTTATGCTTTATTTTAAAATAAAGACAAAGGTTTGAAATTCTGATTTGTTCATGAATTAAATAAATGATTAGAACATAAAAATTAAGAATACAGGCATACATTTCACGGTTTATCTTTGCATGGGTTAAAATGAGAAATAATGTAAATTTCTTAAATGAAAATTTAAGGTCAAAAGAGACAGCTTCCCTGCAGTTTGAGAACTTTGAATATGAATGTGATAAAATACTTTGAATGGCTTTTCTATATCCGTGGTCTTTGAAATTCAAACCAAGAGGCTGTGTAGGAACAGGCAAATAAGGTGTAGAGGACTCTAACTCGTCCATTGATTCCTTTTGTCATTGAGCTGGGTGTAAGAGTGAGCCTTCTCAGAAGCAGGAATAGGAAATCCCATGGCTAGTGGAGGCCATGTGAGATTCCTATCTGAAGTGGTGGCGGCAGCAGGGGCTGAGAGTATAAGAAGAGCATTAGTCTTCCTAACTCACAGAAAAAGTAAAACAGAGTCCTTTTGGACAGGAGGCTGGCTTTCAGACTAGGATGCCCTTAGAACATTTAACAGCATTAAGGATGCTTTGTAACACTTAACCAAAATAGGGTAGAGGCTAAAGGACTGGTGTGACTGAGAAGAGGAACTTTGGGCTAACGCACTGTATTTGTAACCTTTTCTGACCCTGACTTAAGTTAACTTGCTGGCTTTATCATGAACATTATTTGTGAGGTCAGTTAGTGATTACAGTGGATTATCAAACCCATCGGAAAAGTAGTTTCCAGGGGAGGGACCATTGATATCTGAATAGGGTAAAGAAGGATGGAGGGTGGAGGCATGCCTGACTATCATCTTACAGGAATCCTCCTTGGGCCAACGTGGAATTGGGCTTTCTCCTCCTCTGTGTAGCCATAGGAGATCAGATGTGGACCCCACACCATTTTCTCAATAGGCTTAGGTAGGAGATTTCTATTGATGGCCTATTTTGTAATGGGTTTAAAAAAATTTTTTTTTAATTGAGTTTCCATCCCATGCAATAAAAGTCTGCTATAGACTTGTAGAAGAATTGAATTGGTTAATTAAATAGAAGTTCCTTATAAAGATACTGTTAATCTTGAGAGTTATTATAGTATCTCATTCATTTCTCCTAGTGAAACTTGGCTTTATCTGCTTATTTTTATTTCTTGTTAGATTTCAAGACAATCTGTTAAACTGAAATTTTAGACTTTTTGAACATGGTCATGTTTTTATGTATAAGTATGTATTAAGGGATTTGATTTCATTAAGCATAGAAATTGTTGCTATTTTGTAACGAATGTCTCATAATTGAATTTTAATGTTGAGAGAAAACAACTCCAGAGGAAATATTATTCATCAGCTAATATGTTGTAAAGCTCATGTCTATACTGAGATGGAAAACGCTAATACTAGAGTATAGAATTGCCGTTTTTTGTTTTCACTTAAAAGATAGCTTGTGTGCTGTTTCACTTCAGAGATAGCTTGTGAGTAGTTATGAAAATAGTTTAAAACACAGATGTGTTTTATGGCTCTAATTTTTGTTTTGTTTTTTCCAAAGAAATCATAAAGTAGCACAAATAAGTAATGTCTTATCTGGGAAGTCTGCAGAAGGTACCCAATGAGAGCTTAATCCTGAAGTGTGTGGAACATAAAGTAGAAGACACACGAATCCAAAAGAAAGGAGCCTGCAGACTGAGTGGTCCAGTGTAGTAAGAAAGTGTGAGCGTAGAGGTGGATGCTTGTTGATATGTTACCATGCATGCTGTCCTTATCCAAGAACTGATCCTTCCTGATAACATGTCCAAAGTACTTGAGACAAAGCCTCACTGTCCTTGGTACCGAAGAGCATTGTGGCTTATTTTTTCAAGACAGATTTGTTTGTTTTTCTGGAAGTCCATTATATAGTCAGTGTTCCCTGTTTGAAAGTATACCCCTAAAGATATGCTA